CTTTGATTCCTTCGGCAGTTTCTAGCTTGATTTTGTGCATGCATATCCTTTTTTAAATATTTGGTTTCAACTATTATTATGATGCTTCCGTAATATAATAGTGAATAGTGAAAAATGAAAAATATTTTTTCACTATCTGTATATACGAATTAATTAATTACTTGAGCATCACTACTACTGTTGGAATTAATGCATCAATGTTTAGTCTTCCAAAATTGTCTTTTATTTTTTCAAATAGTCTCTTTAGAATTCGTAGTACATGTATCTAGTAAATTGTGATTCATGTATTTAGTTATTTGTGAAAGACTTTTTGTTTTCTATTTTGAGTAGTATAAATAGTGATGTAGTTGATGATTGTAATCATCTCAAGTGTCCTTATGTAGCCTAGAATAAACGTGAACATTCTCTAAAGATACTATTTTCCTTTCATATTTCCTACAAATTGGTATCAAGAGCAGGTTTTCGTTCTTAATTTGGGATTAGGTGAAGAAAAAAATATGACATCCAAAACAAATGAAGGTGCTAATTCTTCAATTGTTCTTACTCCATATTTTGATGGAACTGATTTTGAATACTAGAAGATAAGAATGAGAACATATTTGAAAGGTGAAGGTTTGTGGATTATTATTGCAAATGGCTTTGAAGAGCCAGACAACGATGGTGATCTTACAGTAGCAGAGATGAAAATTTTTGAGAGTAAGTATCGTCAAGATACAAAAGCCTTGAGCAAAATCCAAATGCGAGTCTCAAGAGCATATTTTGCAAAAATTGCTACTTGTGAGACTGCAAAGGAAACTTGAGATTCTCTAGAAACTGAGGTGTATGGTAACGAAAAGGTACGCATTATAAATCCTCAAACTCTTTGAAGAGAGTTTCAAAATTTGAAGATGATAGAATCTGAAAAAAAAATTGATGAATATTGCACAAGAGTCTTGAATATTGTCAATGAAATGAGAAATCATGGTGATACAATTTCTGACCAACTAGTTGTGGAAAAGATTCTAATTAGTATCACAGAAAAATATGAGTATATTGTTGCTATCATTGAGGAGAAGAAAGATCTTTCTAATCTTTCCATCAAAGAACTAGTTGGATCATTTCGTGCACACGAAAAGCGAAGATTTTTCGTGAAGATCAACCCAAAGAGACGGCTTTTCAGTCTAAAACAATTGAGAATTCTCAAAATTTCTCAAAAAATCAACAGAAGATGAATGACAAGCCAAAAAAAGAAGCAGGATTATGATGGTTCTCCAAGTTACGTTGATGAAAAAGATGAGAAAAACTCTATTCTTTTTGGTAAAGTTCGCAAAAAGACTAATCACAATGCAGAAAAATGTTGCACAAAGGCATGCCCCAATGTACTTTTGTAAAAAGTTTGGCTACGTTGAAAAGCATTGCTGGCACAAGAAATGTGAGCAAGCAAATTTTTGTGAAAAACAGGAGGAAGAAAGGGATGAAAACCTGTTATTTTTTTTTTGCTTCTAAATCTGATGCTTCAACCAAAAACAATGAATGGTATGTTGATAGTGGTTGTAGCAATAACATGAGTGGAGATGAAAAGACTTTTCCTCTCAATTAATAATAGCATCACTACTAAAGTTAAAATGGGAAATGGAGCCTTAGTTGATGCGAAAGGTAAAGGTACTATTTCGATCAACATGAAAGGAAGCGGTAAGCAAATTCACGATGTTCTCTATGTTCCTGACTTGGAAGAAAATTTGCTTAGTATTTGGTCAACTTATGAAAAATGGTTATTCTCTTGTGTTTAGAGATAATTATTGCAGGATTTATAATATAATTGATTCAAATCAAGTCATTGTTGAAGTAAAGATAATAAAAAGAAACTTCCTTTGCAATTTCATTACAACGCATTAAAAAATAAAATTGTAGATGATTCATGGCTTCGGCACAAAAGATTTTGTCACTTAAATTTTCATAGTTTGAAGCTTCTCAAGCAAAAGGACATGGTGCAAGGCCTTCCTGAGATACATACTGAGGTGGACCCATGTAAAAGTTGTATAATGGGAAAGCAACATAGGAAGTCTTTTCCAAAGGGGTGTCTTGGAGAGCAAGTGTACTTTTGGAGCTAATTTGTATCAACATATCCGGACCAATGAAGATTCCATCTTTGGAAGTGAAAGGTATTTTCTAATCTTTGTTGATGATTTCTCAAGAATGACTTGGGTTTATTTCTTGAAAGAAAAGTCAAAAACATTTGCTGTATTCAAGAAATTTAAGGCCCTTGTTGAGAAGCAAAAAGGTTGCAGCATCAAAATCATTCGCAGTGATAGATGAGGCGAATACACAAGTCAAGAATTTGAAGAATATTGCAAAAATGAAGACATTTAGAAGCAACTTACAGCAGGATATACACCTCAACAAAATGGTGTTTCGGAAAGAGGAACTAGAACAATTGTTGAAATGGCCAGAACTATGATGAATGAGAAAAGGCTGCCAAAATATTTCTGGGCAGAAGCAGTGCATATAGCAGTTCATATCCTTAACAGGTGTCCAATAAAGGCACTAAAGAACAAGACACCAGTTGAAGCTTGGAGTGGATTAAACCTTCTGTAAGTCATTTTAAAATTTGTGGGTGTATTTGTTATGCTAATGTACTTGCTAAGAAAAGAACAAAATTGGATGAAAAAAATTCAAAAATGTATCTTTCTTGGTTATAATGATGTGACAAAAGGATATAGGTTTCTCGATGTCAAAACTAACAAACTTGTTGTTAGTAGAGGTCATTTTTTATGAAAAAACATGGAATCGGGAGGATAAAAAGATAGAGAAAGATGAAGTTGTCTCTCAAGGGGGAGAAATTCTAGATTTAGATTAGGAAGAACGGCCTCCAAGAAGAACAAAAATGTTGAGTGACATTTATCAAAGATGTAACTTTGTTGGTGTTGAGCCAAAAAATTATGAAAAAGCAATAAAGCATATTGAATGCCTTGAATCAGACCCGTTACAATAGAAAGAACGGGGGTCTCGCTGCCCGATCAGCCAGTCGGGGGGTCCAGGGGGGTGACGCGCCCCCTGGCCTGGGGGTCCGGGGAGGCGGAGTCGCCCCCGGCCCGACGGTATACAATGTTGTTGTATTGGGCCCTTAATTATCTGTCAATTCTGTATTTTGGGCCCAAGCCTGTTAGGGCGTAGCTTAGCACTATATATAGACGCTATGACAAACCCTATTCTGTATTCTGTTCTTGCTTCTCCATAATAAAACTGCTCCCCCTCTTCCCGTGGACGTAGCCAATTTATTGGTGAACCACGTAAATATGTTGTCTTGTTTTTTGCATTTATATTTTCTCGTATTATCTCGAATTCCGCATAACAAAGCATGCTGGAAGAAAGCCACGGAAGAAGAAATTCGGATGATTGAAAAAAATAATACTTGGGAGTTTGTGGCTATACCCAAAGAAAGAGAAGTTGTAAGTTTAAAATGGATTTACAAAATCAAACTCAATCAGGAAGGAGATATTCAAAAGCACAAAGGAAGGTTGGTTGCTAGAGGCTTCACACAAAAACAAGTAATGATTTTTATGAAACCTTCTCTCCAGTTGCTCGTCCTGAGACAATTAGAACTATAATTGTTGTTGTTGTACAAAAGAAATAGAAGATATTTCAACTTGATGTTAAATCTGCCTTTATGAATGAAAAACTTGATGAAGAGATTTATGTTGACCAACCTCAAGGATTCTTTGTTCAAGGGAGAGAGGAGAAGGTGTACATGCTAAAAAAAGCTCTTTACGGGCTAAGCAAGCTCCAAGAGCCTGGTACAATGAAATTGATACATACTTTCTGAAAAATAATTTTCAGCGAAGTAAAAGGGAAGCCACATTGTATGTGAAGAACGAAGATGACAACATTATCATTGTTTGTATCTATGAGGATGATATGCTCTTTACATGAAATGCTGTAAAGATGATGCAAAATTTCAAGCAAGATATGATGCAAGCTTGTGTAATTAGTGATCTTAGGTTTCTAAATATTTCTTGGGCATCGAAGTTTCTCAAGTGAATGAAAGAATTTTCATTTCACAATAGAAGTATACTAAAAGTATTTTTAAAAAAATCTAAATGATGGATTGCAGATCTGTGGTCACGCCATTAGCAACAAATGAGAAGTTTAGAAAAAATGATGGAGAAAAGAAAACTAATAGCTTACTTTATAGGAGCTTGATTGGAAGTTTGCTATATCTTACTTCAACAAGGTCAGATATTATGTTTGCTGCTAGTTTATTATCCAGATTCATGCAAGAACCAAGCCAATTACATTTTGATGCTGCAAAGCTTGTTTTGCGCTACTTGCAAGGAACAATGGATTATGGGATAATGTACAAAGTTGGTGGAGATTTGAACTTAATTAGTTATTCTGATAATGATTGGGCTGGAAGTATTGATGACAAGAAAAGTGCTTCTGGTTATGCTTTCTTATTTGGATCAAGTATTTGTTCTTGGTTATCAAAAAAACAAAGTGTTGTTGTTCAATCCACTGCTGAAGCATCATCCAAGGCTACTTCTCAAGCTATTTGGCTTAGGAGAATATTTGAAGACATTGGTGCAAAACAAAAAAGAGGAATTGTTCTGTATTGTGATAACAAATTAGCAATTGCAATTACCTAGAATCCAGTTAGTCATGAAAGATCAAAACATATTTCCATCAAGTATCATTTTATCTGAGAAACACAAGAGAAAGACAAAATCCAGTTGCATTATTGTCAGACAGGAGAATAACTTGCTAACATCTTCACCAAAGCACTTCCTAGAGAAAAATGTTGCTATCTTCGAGAACGCATTGGAGTTATCAAGCAAATGCATTAAGGGGGACTGTTGGAATTAATGCATCAATGTTTAGTCTTCTGAAATTGTCTTTTAATTTTTTAAGAAGTCTGTTTAGAATTTCATAGTACATGTATCTAGTAAATTGTGATACATGTATTTAGTTATTTTTGAAAGACTTTTTGTTTTTTATTTTGAGTAGTATAAATAGTGATGTAATTGATGATTGTAATCATCTCAAGTGGCCTTAAGTAGCCTATAATAAACTTGAGCACTCGCTAAAGATACTATTTCCTTCCATATTTCCTACAACTACACATAGATATATCATTTTGTGTTGTTTTAGGGGAAGAAATTAGGACATTTGTTTTTCCAGATATTGCAACTAGCTGTTGTACTTCAATGGGGGATTTTGTTTATAATTTTGTTGTCACCATTTCTATTAAGCCTCTAAATAGAAGAAGAAAAAATAGTTAATTTCTGTGTTGAAAGAGAAAGAAATTAAATTAAATTAAAATAGAGAGAGTATAGGAATTTTGTGATATTTTCATCAGGTTTTCATGAGCTATATATAATGTGGTGTCAGCGCTATATCAATATGGGAGAGAGCACCATTTCACTCAAAAAAAAGAAAAAGAACTCTTATATATAGTTTCAGAGAAACAACTTCATAGAAGTACTGCACCATGCCTAATAATTAGTTGATAAACTTCATAGTAGGTTTTCTATATATTGGCTTAACTGTGACCAACTTAATGATGCTCTCACTGACTCTAATCTACATTGTAATATTACACTGTGAATTCAAATCTTTGGAACAGATTCACATAAGAGGCCATCAAAAGCTGAACTCGAGTCTGATGCACGATCTGGGGGAATGAACAAGGAATATCAGTCTCTGGGTTCAACTTGGTCCAGATACACTAACTGGTTCTGCAGGAGCTGATGCTCTTTTGAATGGTTTGGAGGTTTCCAAGTTGAATAGGAATGGTAAACTTGCTTATAAACGAAAATATGAGAATATTCCAGAAAAATCAACTTCGAAAGACTTAATCATGTGGGTAGGAATTAGAGTAAGTATTGCATCCATTATCATTCTTGCAGATTTAGTCATGCTTATTATATGGTTATGTAGTAAAGATGACATAAAGAAAAGCTCACCTGGACGGAGGCCTTTATTCCTTCATGCAGCTGTTGTAACCAACACTCTACTGGTAAGGAATCAATATAATATCAAAATCCAGAAGGCGTTTTACTGTACTAGAGATTAAAGGAGCTACAAATACTTTGATGAAAGCTTAATTCTAACGCAATGACGATGTATTTTCATCATTGCAGGACTACAGGGAATTCATAAGCTACATTTGCAAAGCTTACAAAGGAACTGTGCCAATCCCCGGTTGCAGCTCATCTTATTCTATAAGTTCAACTAGTACATCATTTGTTGAACAAAGAGTTACGCAGGCTGCATCTGCATAATCCAAAGGCTTCTCTATATCGTGTGGCGCGCGCATCAACGATATAATAGAGCTCCTTGATGCTGGTTATGTTTTATGAAATGATGATTTATGGTTATTTTCCATGATAGGTTTTTGTGATGAACAATATGAAAAGATTTTGGTCTCTTCCTAAGTTTAGAATTTGGGGATTGGATAAGCCATCTTTTTGGCATTGATTGTGTTATTTGTGTTTTAGCTATGCAAAAATACGTTCCGTTGATTAAACTTGAGTACTTACGCAATATACTTTTATATTAATATAGCCAACGGCGTTTATAATCGCATATCTTCAAGCATTTACGGATTCAAAGATATAAAATGTTGCATGTGCTCAGCACGGGCCATACCCTTCTAGTACATAACGTATATCACTAATGTATGTATATATAACTCAAAGTTCCTCTAGTTTCTTGTTGCCACTATGTGTGCATTATTTTGTTTCAAAGTAACTGCATACCATATTATAAAAGTATATATACTGTAACCTTTTGTATTTTAATTTTAAACTGATTTTACATCTACTGTTTTAACATAAAATACTTCATACCAAAAGTTAGAAACTATAGCTTCTATGTATACTAGATGGTTAAGGCCTGTGCCCAACAAGTGGAATTCTAGAGTATCCAAAAAATTGTATGTACTTGAGATTACTTTATTTTACATATATGATCTTTTCTTTGATATACCGATGAAACCTTCTCTTTGAATTGCACAGATAAGGTCTAAAAGCAGAGTTATCATATTCAGAAGATAAGGTTTTCTAAGTATTATATGGAAGAATGGAATTTCAATTTGTAATACGTATGTTACGGCCTACGGGATGTATTGTTTATGCACTATAAGAAACCTAAGAAGAGGCTATGTTTAGAGGATACCTTCAACTATAAAAGAACATTTAAGTACCTTTATATTCACAAGGGGAACTAACCATATGTAAAACAAAAAGCTCAACTAATCAATTCGCAAACATCACAAAATGTGTTATTTGGTCCATGTCGAATCTGTTTGGCCCTCTAGCACACATGGATCGATAACAAATTTACTTGTCGATATCCGAATTTGGTCAACAGGTGTAACCTGAAATAAAATTAAGAGCAGTATTAGTTAAACATAAAATGAAATTTACAACTATATTGTTTTGGAACTATACAAAGTTACCCTACAATATTGTTTCGTGACTAATTTCTAGAGTAGATAGTAGCAAAGACTAAGTGTTTTAAAGAGATAACTATCCCGCTTATGAGTGCAATAAGTATTTTAATGGGATTAGATACAACATGTGAAAAATTACAAATAATGGTTGAAGACAATTGTTACAAAAAATATTGAAACTGCTCAACCTGCTTTTCTTTTGAGCAGAAAACATGATAAAACAGTAGTTCTCTTATCCACATTATTCTTCTCCACATTCTACTTTCATGAGCATCTTGTTGCTTCTTGTGGTGACATATATCCCTCCTCGCATTTGTGGCTATAGGAAATCTCACAATAAGAATGTTTAGACAACAAACACTCCCATGAATGAAATGTTCCATCTATCAAATTTTAGCGAGAGCATTTACATTGATGCTAAATAGTGAAGCAAATTAGAGAATGATAAATTTTAGATGGTAAAAAAAGTACAACCATCAAAGAATTAGTGGTTAGTATGCAACATTTTGAACTCTGGGCACATCATAATTTTGAGTCGTATTCAAATGATAAACTATGATGATATTGATGTTTACTTGATGGTTTATGATGGAAAAATCTATGAACCCATGTTTCTCTAAATTCCTAAATTTGACCTTATGAAGT